ACAGAGTAGTAACTTTGCGATCTGACTCGATTAGCGTCGCGTCAAGTTCGAGATCTCACTTCTCTCTCAAAGCTCGCAGCAGCAGCAGCACTTCTAAATCAAGTTTTGAAAACTTTATACGTACAGCGGTGGGCATGAAATTCTCTCTATTCGCTATCAAAGGTGCACCATCGCTGCTGCATCGGACACACACAGCAGCAGTAGCAGTCGAAAGAAAATAAATAGAGGACCTTTAATCGAATCCAGTGTGTGTACAGACGGTCGCGCAGAGGCAGGTATATATATAATATATATATGTGGGACGAAACGAATTTACAATCCTTCGTGCGTCGCCATGGTCCACACGTACAGCAGCAGTAGCGAAATTACCCCTATTGTCGCGCGGCGCGTATACTCTCGCTTTTGCCGCGCACGTGTGTATATCCTCGAGAAAAGCGTCGACGCGGTGGTGATTCACGGCGTATAGCATATAGAGAGAGAATTCACCGATGAAAGTAGTTCAGTGGAATACAAAAAAAAAAGAAGGAAGGAAGAAAAAATCAATTTCTCAACAATTCTCGCTCGCAAGTTGGACGCCTCGATAATAGTCAAACAAATTAACGCGTAGATACACGGATTTCAAGAAAGTATACTTTAGAGAAGCTAGGAAAGAAAGGAATAAAAGGAACTCGTTTAAGAATTAAAATAAATTTCTATCTCTTTCTTTATTTTCTACTTCGAGGCGTTATAAAACAGTGTAAAACTGAATACTACATTCACCGAGGATTGACATTTCAATTTCTCGTTTACAAAACGACCCAATAATTAATCATTAAATTATTAAGTCGTCTCCGTCATAGACCAGCAATGGCGCGATCTCAACGCATCCTCATCCGCCGTTGCTGCGCCTTCCATCGCCAAGTATAAATGGCAAGTTAAACTTCTCGTGTTACCTATCTTGGCGCGAGCAAGAGAAGGAAGGAGAGCATGCACACACTTGCTCCGCGCTTTAGCCTCGTGCCGTCGCTTTTCTGCATAAATCTCGGATCATATACCACGTTAGCTTGAGTTGCTTACACACTACATCTGTATTGCATAGATCTCTTATGCTTCATGTTGGTAAATTTAACTTTGTATTATATGATATACTTTTAACTTTTTCATCGAAGCTGCATGAGGGGGTTTTGATAGATATTCGTGATTTATAATTTATCGACAGTGAAGTATTGTATCTTTATTGTAATTATTATGAATTCATATGAAAATTTTAAAATTCTGCGAAAATAATGAATTGCTGGAGAATAGTGATTGCCTGGGTAGAAATATTCAACACATTTTAACAGACATTACCAATAATTGGTTTATTTTTAGCGATTTTTTGTTACAATTCTGTTACAAATATAAAGCGTATTTCAAATGTCCGGAAAATGATAATTTAACTGTGTCGAAAAAAAAACTAAAACAAAAACAATTTTTACCTACATTAAAAATAATAATACCACTTTATGCTTCCACCGTTAGATGGCGAGTACCAATTTTTCAGTAAATCTGCAAGTGGCCAAGTAAAATTATAATATATGTAATAGCATCGTTTAACCAAAATTCATTATACAAATCATTTTGTTGTAATTTATTATTTATTATTTGAATCGTTTGTTTGTATTTGATGTTGGTATTGGTTGTATTTGATGCGTTGTAATGCGTTTAAAGTTAAACTTAACCAATTCATTTTGATCACTTTTTAGATTTGAAACATAAAATTTTGAAAAACTATTGAACGGATTGTTAATGGTGATATGCGTAATATATGTGAGTTTAATACTTTTATGCGCCAGAAAATTTTTCATTGTCCAAAAACTGATAGTAAAACTGTTACCTATTCCGTGCATGTGTATCTATGCAGTACCGTTCGCTATGCCGCATCGCATTTCAAGCAAGAAACATCGTATTTCAATAGGTAAATCGATGTAAGCGAGCAAGTTTTAGTTTTGAAAATATTTGTCTTGTATCTTCAAAATTATGTATAGGAATAACATTTTAGAACTTCAAGAGCTGGCATAACTTTACGATTCAACGTTAAGTTTTCCGCCGCTGGTTTTTGATCTTTATGCAATATCCGTGTAACACAAGAGGCATCACGAGCTTGGGCTGTCTTGGCCGGGGAATTTACAGCGGCTAACTGGAGGAAGAACAAGCCCGTGGGACAAAGTCACCGCCAGGATTACCCTCGCGCTTGAGCAGGTTCTGCGTCGGGCGTTCGCTCCTTCTCTCCCTCTCTGTATCTCTCCAGCTTTCCACTGGACTATATACGCACACCCGCATGAACTCACTGTTGCTTCTGCGGCAAACGAAGCGTCGCGCGCGCCCACGTATAAATAGAGGAAAAGCAGAAGAGAATCGGGATTACCCTGTACCGAAGAGATCGAGGAAGGAAAAGATTAAAGTTATTTTTAAGGTGAGGGTTTACGGCTTGATACGCAATAAAATAGCTGTATAATAAGATGGTGATTCATACCAAATGAGTATTTGAAATCATTGGGACTGTGAATTTTCAGGTTGATTAATTCATCGTTACAGAAACTTAATACTAACAAATTAAGGTAACGAAATCTATGAGAAACAATACTTACGAGATCATTTGGATACTTGTTGATGAAAAAATTGAAGAGCTGTGAAACAAACCTACTCTTTAAATAAATTATAATATAAGCTATTATGTAGTTTCACTTTCGACTTTCATAATTTTCATTTTGCTAAACAACATTTCTGATAGAAATGCTGAACATTAATAACAACCTACTACCCAAAAAATTACCATTCAAAATGATGTAAAACAAACGATCATTAATTGGTTTGTTTTGAGCATTCTAGATTAGCTGGAAATGACAATTTAACCGTTTCAAAAAATGTAAACCAGTTTTCTACCACTATGAATGCGATATTACCACTTTGAGTCCCCCCGCTAGATGGCGAGTATCTTTATACCTGTAAATCCGCAAGTGGCGTGACTATATAATTCATAATTAAATACCAATAAACCATTACTAATTCAGTTACTTCAGGGAATCAGGGTCTGCCAAAACCGGGAAAATTAACATAGGATTATATGGGAGATTTACAGTTACTCATATTTCAAGAAATATGCAACTTTTTGAAAAAATAAGGACACAAATCGATTTCTCTTAAAATTTTCCGTCGGGAATGATTGTCTACTCAAAATTAATTTAATTGATGTTTCACATTTCAAATGCAGACAGTTGAAAATAGTTATTGAATGAGTGTTTATGCAGTAATTAGCTTTAATTTTATGTTATGGATATTGAAGGTTTGAAAAATTTCACGGGTTACGGCAAGTCACACAGTTTCAAAAGTGTATAAAAATTCAAAAATGTTTAGAGCGCTATGTTCAGCAATTGCGTTCATCTCATAACATTTATTGACAATACTTACGATAATGTTCGATTGAAAGCGTTTCTAGGTTTTAAATACTTGCATCAAGAATCATGGACTTACCTAGAATCAAAAAAAAAAAAAAAAAAAAGATTATTATTATTAATGTACGACCAAAAGAACCAATAATTTTTTTTTAAACCAAGATTTCATGAAAAAAGCGGAAGATAACATGGTAGGGGGTTTCAAACGCGAACTATTCGATCTCCTCGCGCGCGCGCACACACGCACAGGTCGTGTGTTTATAAACCTCGAAATTGGAAGCACAGCCGCAGGTCGTTCCTTTGATCGTCTGTATAATTAGATTCCAAAGGCTACCACCACCACGTGCGCCACGTTTGACGACTTTTCGGCTTTTCATGATTATACACGCAGCGATATCCACATACGCAGCCTGGCCGCCCTGTATAAATAAAGTACGAACGTACCACCCCCGCAGTAACCGTCTAAAATTGTTTCAAAATTTCATTGGCAGCGACTGACGCACCGTGCGTGTACACTCGCGCGAATAGCATATTTATCGGTGCATTACAGGATTTCGCGCCTGTATTTATCGTGTGCGGCTGATCCAAGGGCTACCAACGGGGCTGCGGATCATAACGCGCGATGCTAAACGAGGTCTTTTGACGGAGAAAAAAAACCCTTCATCAAAGAAATTTTTTAATGAGTTCTTTTGGTAACTGCGATCTTTTTTTTTTTGGTTCCAGCGGGTAAAAAAGTATTTATCAATTACGGTCGTTTCCACCTCAGGATGATCGAGCAATCAAACATCAAAAGAATAATGAATTCCGAGCGATAAACCGCACTCGATCAGTTTTCACCCCCTCGATAAGAGAGAGAGAGAGAGCTGCCTTGCGGCCCCCCTCTGCACTGCTAATAAATACATACATAAGAACGCAATTTCACGCGCCAACGAGTCTCTCTGTAAACTATAACTCGGACTGACGTCGAACGCGGCGATTTTAAGGATAGAAAAGAGAAGGAAAGAGAAAAAAAAGAATCCCTGAACGAAAAGTCTGAATGGCGGAGGACTTTTTTTTTGCTCGTGCAATCAACGCGCCCGTAGCGTATCGGGGGATCGCCTGAAAGCTGCAGCAGCAGCCAACTATGCCCGAACAACATAACGCGCTAGCTCTGCTCTGCTCTGCTCTGCTCTGCTCTGCTCTGCTCTCTCTTTCTCTCTCGTGCTACACCAGGAGGATTAAGCACAAGCCATCGGTCTTCCCAGCCGAGAGTGCGAACGAGACACGGACAAAGCGATCCTTGCTTATCTTGATTGAACTTGCAGCTCGCTGGCGACGCACTGCTGCTGCTGCTGCTGCCGCTTTACCCGGAGAGCTTTTCTTTGGCCAACGGCATAATCGGTTAATGTCGATTGTTTTTATCTCCGTGGCAGCGAGCCGTTCACTGCGTGCACAATGAGAGTTGAGACGCGCTGCTGCTAGTCTCCAAATAAATACGCTTTTCTGCCTTAAAAAAGATTGATGATGGATTTATGGCAATGAGGTCAACAAAACAATTGCTGTTTTTGTTTTTTTTTTTTTTGCGATTATTTTATCAAAATCAACGAGTTCTGTACATGTAATATAATCATAAAAGTATAATAACAATCAATGAGTCATCAACTCGTCTTGTATCTGCTGCAAGCTCTTGCCTTTGGTCTCGGGCAGTAAAAATATCGAGTACGGTATAATGGCTACGGTGCAAATGGCGTAAATCAAAAAAACGTAGCTGTGTCCCATGGCGTCGATCATCGGCTGATAAGACTTAATGGACACGAAGGACATGAAGGCGGCCGTAAGCACGGCTATGCACGAGGCCACGCTCCTCACGTTGGCCGGGAAAATTTCGCTGAGAATGGCGTTGGGCACCGGCAGCAGACCGATGAAGAACGAGACCATGTAGATGAGCAACGAGACGCCGGGCAGCCACTGCCATTGGACCGTGTCCACGTTCAAGTCGACGAGGATGAAAAAAGTCATGACGCCGATCAACGAGATCGACAGACCGATGCTCGAGACCAGTAGCAAAAATTTCCGACCGCATTTGTCGATGAGAAATATCGAGCCGATCGCGGCTACCGTTGCTATTACGTTGATGTACACCGTGAACAACGAGGGATCTGTCAAATTGAAATTGGCGTCTCGTAGAATCGGCTCCATGTACATCATCATGACGTTGGAGCCACTGATCAGGACAAAAGTATAAAGCGCCATTATGTGCGCCGTTGCCCTTTGCAACGGCTTCGACGTCTTGAATCTCTGCAATTTCTCCTTGAAAGTCATGTCGCCGTCCGTCGTGACGAACTTTATCACCGCGACGAGTTCGTCGTCGACCCCCTGCCCGGCGCGATACCACTGAATGGACTCCCGTGCGGCGTCGTGCTTCTTCATTTTCACCAGATGATGAGGAGATTCGGGAAGCCAGAAGAACAGGGCCGTCGTGACGATGGCCAAAAACAGATAGACGTAGGCGGCCTCGTTCACGCTGAGCTGAGAGCCGCAGAGAGTGGCGAGGATCTGGCCGACGGGCGCCCCCAGGGTGGCCAGTGATATGAGAGCGCCACGGATGCTGGGTATCGAGACCTCGCCGATGTAGAGCGGAAACACGCTGAAGGTCATGCCGAGGCCCAGGCCGCTGAACAGCCGCGAGAAGTACAGCCAGACGAACGAGTCCGAGAGGGTGATCAGGAGCCAGCCCAGCAGAATCGGGCAGAGCGTGATCAGGATGGATTTTTTGCTGCCGAGATAGTTGACGCAGACGGGTCCGATGATGCCGCCGAAGCATCGGGTGAGATTGAGGAAGGACGCCACCCAGGAGGCCTGCTCGACGCTCAGTTTAATCGGCGAGTCGGACTCGGCCAGTTTCGCCAGGGTGGGAGACGTCCAGGCTCCCATCACTCCGATGTGAATCAGCAGCAGATTCACTGCGCACGTAATATAATGGCATACCAAGGTTATAGCGAACGATTATTATTTGTGAAAAATGAAAAATTAGACAAGACATACCTCCGGCACCGGCGATCCATTGGGGATAAATTATATTTTTTCCGATTCCTAAAATCATTTGGAAAAAAAAATTGTTCAATCCGTTGAATCGGATTGCGGCTTCGATTTAACTCAGATATTTCGACTCGTCGCGCATTTGTCGATTACAAAGTTATCCAAACAATTTGAGACATCGAGTGAACCCGTGCGTGGCTTTGGATGACGGATTGATTGAAAATTGTTCAACTAGTTCACATTGTAGTAGTGCACTAATGATGGATTAGAATTTTTCGATTTTACACTTCGAAAAAAGATGTTAACGTTATTGATGTTACCGAACGAAGAAACACTGATGAGAAGAGCTGCAATTGGCACGACAAGGTGAAGCGACGTAATTACATGCAAAAAATATTCTTATCTTATCTCGATCATAATTCTACTGGCAGGCATTTCATCAAAACACGAAATTCACACGTAAAAACTAATAATCCGGCTAATTCTGTAAGATCATTGGTACAATATTTGCGACGCAAGTAAATTTTTTAACACGATAAAACAGTCGATTGATTAATAAATCGATGAAATGACACTATTATATGTTGATGACTACATTAACTGAAATCTTCTACTTGAAGCCAATTTAAGATCAGTCAATCAAAATAATTCAAGTTTTCAACAATGAATGATTGGATGTCGCTCTAAGCTTGTTATTCTTTGCAGTCATGCCCTGCCTCGAGCATCTCGAGTCTCTCTTTGTACCTTCATTCGAAGCTCAAAGGCTTCATTAATTTTGCATCGCATATTTAATGGAGTTTCTGCCAACTAAGACCACGCGTCAGACGAAGAATGTAAAAAAAAAAAAAATTAAGGGAATTATATAATTAAATGTCCGTATAATTTTCATTTATTCGGAAAAAAATAAAGGTCTTAAATCAATTATTCATTTAATTAGGAATAAATCTATTTATATACACTATCCTGCTCAAAATTCTCAATATTAATAATGGCTTCATAAACAAAAAATATTGGCAAAGAGCTTCCTCATAAAAAATAATATTAATAAAAGCATCGGTTATTAACGAAAAAATTCGTATTTTTGAATTTTGATTCACTGTCTAGTGCCCTAACTACCAGACGATTACACACGATACATTTTGATGTTAGCCAAAAGGCCGAGAAAACAAAAACTCATACAGACATTTGATGGTAATTCAATGTAGTTTCCAAATATGTAAATACCAAATTGTCCTACGACGTCTGGTTCCAAATCTCGATTTCAAGCCTATCACAGAACTTCCTCTATGAAGAAGCAATACAATTTAAATACGATAATACAACTTTCAACTTTCACCGCTAGATGGCGAGTACCGTTGTCTGTAAATCCGCAAGTGGCAAAGTAAATCTAACTCTATATAGTGTAAACAATTTTGAAAAAAAATGTTGTCTTCAACTTCCATTAACATGATATGTAATCATGAGGTTACACTACTAAATTCTATATCTATAATGCGTTAACGTAAGCATTGCAAGCTCGAGCGTTTGTATTACCATCTGAATTCTCATACGCGCGTTAACGCGTCCAAGTCGATGTGCCACGTATGCGCAGCGGCGGCAGCAAGTGACAGCCAACCAACCGATCTTACATCGCACTGCAGCACACCCAACACAACACGCCTACACATAACTCGGTATAAACAGGCGCAGTGTGTAGCGCTGCATGACGCGCCGCCGCGTCATGTAAGCGTATGCACGTAAATGACAACATTATCGACTCCTCTCGTCGTCGTCGTCGTTGAGCAGCGCCCAAAGCAGCTCGAGTTTAACGCGCCGCAGCGAACGTAGCGTATAATCAGCTTCAACTCGCTGCTGCTGCTGCTGCTGCTCTGCATCGTTAACAAACTGCAAATGTGGCCAACCCTCCGAAGTATATTATATAATATACACTTGCAACTTATATATTTGCCGTGCGCTTATAACTTGAGCGCGAGTCGCTGAACTGTCGGATGCGATGATCGATCGGTCGATAGCGTTTAAAACGTGAATTTAATGCGCGCGCCCACACTCGACGTGAGTCGGATTCGCGGATATGTATCGATCCCCCACCCGCGCTTATCAACCTATCAACGGGCTTTTGCTTTTACAGCGCGCGTCTGACTAAATTCGTGCATTTCTACTTGCAATATATACGTATAACAGGTTTCTTTCACCGAGGGAGAAAAGCAATTTTATAAAGCCGCGGTAAAAATTGAACAAATACTTAGATTCGTGTCTTTTAAAATTGTGTCCCATCAATCCTGTAAAGATTTCAATTTTAGACAATTTTGCAACACTGTTAAAAACAATTTATGCAAGAAATGACCAGCCTCGCCCGCAGTCGCTCCCATACGCGGTTGGTTTCAATCTATATCGATATGATTGTATATAGTTCAAAAGCTTCTTCTCCTTATTGGTGCTGCGTCTGTGCCAAGCTGCGCGCTTTGCCTCTTTCGAGTCTCGGTCATCCGCATATTTCAATCCTCGCTCAAAGAAAAATCGAGAATATTGATTTTCAACGAAAAATGTCCACGACTCCCACGTATCGCCGCACAAGCCGATAATACACATACGTATATCCGCTGAGAATGCGACGCGCCAACTATTTCGCTGCCCTGCATATGTTCAAACGTGTGTGTACAGTATGCGCGACGTGTACTTCTCTACCGTACACGCTACATTTCGCATGCAACTCTCGAATATATATCGCGCGGTAGTAGAGTCGACTCTAGCGGCTAGCATAATTTGCAATGCGGCCCCAGAGCTCTATCTGGTTCTCTCTCTCTCTCTCACCCCGGACTCCATCTGTCAATCGACGAGGCGATAATTGCCTCCAGGGGTATTATGATAATGATTATAATACGTGTCGATTGCTTTACGATATGACGTTTACCGCGTTTGACGAGGAGCGACGGCAGCGGATCGATTTTGCGATAATTTGGCGAAATCTCGATTGACCACGCGCGCAACCGTTTCACATCCATAACCATATATTCGAAATCACTCATCGGTCATATAAAGAGGAGGAATCGGAATTGGCTCGGGTTTTAATTTTGCTGACTGCGTTGTAAAATGCACACACGTGTCCGCGTGATAAAAGACGAAGATGATCGAGCTGCGCGCGGATCTCATTTTACGCTCGGACGAGTCGTATGCACGATCTATGCCCTTTTTGAACTCGCTGACTTTTACCTAAAAAAAAAAAAAAAAAAAAACAAATAGTTCAATCTTCTCAATGCGCTTGGTGCGCATTTAAAATGCACATGACAAAGCAATTACTCAGCTTATAGAATCGCTACTTTGAGAAATAAATTTGTATGGCAATCGAGCGATATTGGACAGCATAGATATAAAGATTGGCAGCGAAATGATTGAACGCGCAGCATCGAAACATCGATATACTGATATAATAATTTATGTGTCAGAGAAATATTTTCAAACTTCGTCGGCTCCGCCCCGCGTACGTATCAAGTTGTTGAGCAACAAAGGTATACATAACAAGCCAACTAACACCTCCCAGAGCTCCTTTGTGCTCATCCCCTCGATCGCGTACGCGACTACACAGGTACGTATACTGTACCAGAAATAAATCCGTGCCGTATATCGGTAAGCTCGCAAACAAACGAACTACATCCAAAGATGGAAGGAAAATCAATAATTTCTTTTTCCGCTTTACGTTTCGTCTATTTTGCCGCGTCAAACGAAAAAAACTCGCTGCTGTACCCCCGCTGCTACGCAACCGTATATATATATATAAGTTAAATGTTAGCAGCAACGGTAGTTTCAAATCCATTCTCATATAATTTTTTTTTCCTCCTCTTTTCTCGTTCGTTCCTCTCTTTCGCATCGTCGTTATCGTCGTCATTATCGTTCGGCAGCTCTCCTTCTCCTATAGCAAGCTCGGAAGAAAGCGCGACGCGGGGCCCGACACGGCAGACTCTCCTGTAGAAGCTCCTTTTTCGGCCTCTATATAACGCTCGCTCGCGCGCGAGTCATTTTCTCGCTTCTGCTCGTCGGCTCGCGCGAGAAAAAAGATAAAACTGAACGTTATATACCGAGAAAAGCGCGCGGACAGATAACGCCTTCGGAGGAAAGAAAAATGAGATTGTTCTGAGATATTGCGAATGAGTATCTTATATATCTATATATAGCGTGGCCACGTCGCTCGAGCGTGGCAGCGTTCGATGCTCGCAGCTCCTTTACGCCGAGGGTATAGGTAGTAATAGTAGCAGCGTAGCTTTTCCTTTCATACACTTGAATTAAGCTTTGAAAGTGTATACTGGCGCGCGAAAAGCAGACACACGCGGGCCGCGTGGAATCGAGGTTCCAAAACACTCGACTGGTGTACACGAGCATAGCGCAGCAGCAGCGCAGAGAGGGTGAGCGAGACGATGATTGATGTAAAGTATGTGTGTACAGGAATGCGCGCACGTGTATACGTTTGAAATTTCGATGCCTACGACGCGTTCGAATGCCACCACGCCGACGCCGAATGCCGAGTTGAGATCCGAGAGAATTCGAAAGATTTCTGAGATGTACCTTCGGATTTAGACATCGGTACGTATGTTTCTCACGGATGGAAATTTTTGGTTATTCGCTATTCGTTGCGATGCGTATTGATAATTTTTGAAACCCCGTAAAAAAGTCACCGCGGATGATGTGTGGTTTTTTGTGTGAATATCTAGCTTTATTGCCATGATTGTCCATTTAATATTGTGCGTACATTGCATAGATTAATTTCTATTTCATTAAGCTAGTTTAAACTTTTTATAAAATTTTTCATATCCAGAGTGAAAAAAAATCAAAAGCTCACTTACAATTCGTGTGCAATATTGCAGAAGATACTGTGAGAAAAATTTCACCAGTCTCCTATTGACCGAATTCTCTCTTTTTTTTTATTCGAATTCAAGCTTGATTGCACACTCTGAATATACTTCAATTCGAGGATTTTTTACATCCACTCAACTTTTTAAAAGTACGAAATATATTACTTTTGAACTTTTTTTGCACGTATATTTTTAAGTCAAGCTCGACAAAACTTGAGTTGCTCCGCCGCCCCCGCGGCGCGCAGGTAAACTTTGCAAAAAATAAAAAAAGAGCAATCAATCTACTTTATTCCTGCGATTGCTCGATTACTTTGAATTTATCTCAAGCGTACTTGGCAATGTGTCATTTTTTTTCATTTTTTCAAAGCTGGAAAAGCTGCGCTTGTATAAATTATTACAAGTTTTCATTTTGCGCCTCACAAAAGGAAATAAACGCTCAGATAAAGGGCACGAGTGTTTATTTTAATTAAATTTTCGCT